TTATAATTATAATTTTATACTATTATATAATATTGTAATTATATTGTTTTTATAATATAAAAATATATTTAACAATGTAATTATTAGTTACTATCAATTAAATATAGAGTATTTGAATATAGACAACTCCATTTTATAATAGTGTTAGTAGTTGTACCTAATCTTTTATATTAAATGATTAGAAGTCATGTCGAATGATATACCTCTCAATTTTTGAGTTAAGTTCAAATTTCTTTTTCTAAAACATTGTAACTTGTTAAAAAAATAAAAAAACTATGGTAGTTACTATTTATAATATGCATCATTCGAATGATGCATATTATACCTAATTTTTTAAATTAAATGGTTATAAGTTATGTCGAATGATGTACCTTTCAATTTTTGAGTTAAGTTCAAATCTCTTTTTCTAAAACATTGTAACTTGTTAAAAAAATAAAAAAAAACTGTGGTAGTTACTACCTATAATATGCATCATTCGAATGATGCATATTATACCTAATCTTTTAAATTAAATGATTATAAGTCATGTCGAATAATGTACCTCTCAAATTTTGAATTAAGTTTAAATCCTTTTTCTAAAACATTGTAACTTGTTAAAAAAATAAAAAAAACTGTGGTAGTTGCTACCAATAATATGCATAATTCAAATGATACATATTATACCTAATCTTTTAAATTAAATGGTTATAAGTCATATTGAATGATGTACCTCTCAAATTTTGAGTTAAGTTCAAATTTTGAGTTAAATTCAAATCTTTTTTTCTAAAACATTGTAACTTATTAAAAAAAATAAAAAAACTGTGGTATTTACTACCTATAATATGCATCACATACTCTGCCATCCCCAAAAAAATCATTCGGCAAAGTCACACTCAAACCCCACTATAGCATCACCTTCATCCAAATCAACCAAGCCGCTCTACAGCCGCTCTATAACCACGAAATAAATGATCAAGTTCCTTCACAGCCTCATTGCATAAACCACAACCGACATCTTTACCCAGCAAAATAACTCCTATTTTACCAATATTCTCCCTTGTAACTAATCGATTTAGGAATAACTTTTATTTAAATATATTTAGTTTAGAAGAACATACTTCCACCAAATTATTTTACACCATTTCTGATAAAGAATATAATCTTCAGTTGACAAAAAATCATAAGTTGCCTTCACAAAATAGACACCTCCACTATAATGTACCCATCTCCAGGAATCCACTTTATCTTCCCTCAATTTCACCACATTAATCATTTCCATCAACCTTTCCACACCTCACCAACTGCCCTTCCCAAAGAATCTCTCCTCCATCCAATACTCAGCCACTCCCATTCTCCACCACTCCAAAAACCCATGTCTTTCACCAAACTATCCTTTTTTTTTTGGCTAATGCAATAGTTGCGGAAATAAAATTTTTTAAAAGATTTATCTCTCATCCATATATATCCCACCAAACGTGAGACATGTTTAAAGATGCCAACGCGATCATATCCACCTCCTTCCCTCCCTCATAATATTTCCCCCAAATCATTCTCTCTCATAAACTCTCTGTCCTGTTCCCTAATTTATATCACCATTTGCCCAACAAAGTACAATTTCTCCTTTCAAACTCAGCAACCCCTAGTCCACCTTCATCCTTATC